TGGTAGGAATTGGACGGATGGAGATTGCGTGCCGATAGCCCGCATTAATCTGTTCTTTGATCCTGCAGTCATTTAGGGGACACCGCGGGGATGGTGTGAGGATGTGAATGTGACGGGATGAGTGTCGTTGGCTCATTATTCCCGCCAGCTATTGGCCCGAGGCCAGAATTCACGGTCAACCGGGGATTTGCCGGATACTTAGAGAGAAAAGCAACGGCCAATCCCGCGGAGAGAGAGCCAGTAGAGCAATGGATACTCCGTAGGGCCCGACAGTTTCTCAAATTCGTCAAATAATTGCGTCCCACCCATCAGTCAAGTCAGTCCATCGCCCTGGAAGGACAGAAGAGTCAGGTTGCATCGGGGACGTCTCCCGGATTGTGCATCTCGAGCTCATGCAGAAGACGGTCGGAAATCAGTGCAGGGCCCAGGTTGGTGCGTGCGACGGTGCGACGTGCGGCGTACGGCATGCCCACGATGGCACGAAAAGATGCTTGGTGCTTGGCCGGGGAGGGGCCAAGAGGGGGAGCAACCCGCACGAAGCGATTACAGGGCAGGGCATCGAATGGCAGCCCAAGACATGGACGACACACCACCAACGACAGCGCGACCCCTGTCTCATCTCTCATGCCCCCCCCATGGCTCTGGACGCCCTCTCAAACTTCGTCGCCGTACGGCTGTGTGTAACTGGTCCGGCATCTGCCCATTGTCCATTGTGCAGCGCCAGTAGATGGGCGATCCGAGTGGGCAGAGCTGCTCTCTGTGGTGACGGTTGGGAGCCCACTCATCACACCGTGCTTTGCGCTGGAGAGACTGACTGTTTGGAGGTGATGTACTGTGTCGGTGTTGTTTGTGTTGGGCGGTGACGAGGTGTATACATTTCTTGATTCTTGGTCAAACACGCGTCCTGATGACGGGTGCCTTGCAACGGTCGATTCGGAACAGCGGCACTGAGCTTTGTCCTCCGCCGAACAGTCCTTATTCGAGGATTATGCGGATAAACATAGGCGTACAGAGGCGAGTTGACGGTGACTAACTTTTGTGCAGTGGACTGAACAGCCTCAGTAAGTAGCATCGGTAGAGGCGTACAAACGGAGACCATTGTCGTCTCCAACCCGATTCAGAGTCTAGAAGTCCAGAGTCCAGACCCCAGGGCCGATTCTCATGCTAGAAAATACCCAACTGGGGAGGGCCAGAACCTCAGACGACGCAAGGGACTCCCGTAATGTGGCGCGTTTTTCTGCCCCAAGACGCTGGAAGGGTTTAAAAGAAGCGACCGAGCGCACTTTGGTTTTCGGCGCAGCTTCGAATGATGTGCTGATTGACTTTTTTCTGTCGTTGTCGGTGCAGTTCTGTCGTTCGTGTAGGTGCAAGATGAGGCAAGACGGATGCAAGAGTGTAAGGCGGGCAGTACTTACCTGAGGTACCTTAGTAAGGCGAGCTGTACGGAGTACCTACTTACTTACCAACGTTAGGTAGGAGGGTAGACTCGCTACCAGGAGGTGAGGTGGTTTACGGTATCGAAAAGGTACACCATAGGGAAGGCTCAATTCCGGCTACTTTGTGTAGCTGTCCCGCAGTTCGCAGCACAAGTCGAGTGCGCCATCTCGAAAAGATACATTTATTCCATTACGTGGGCCTTGTACCTCCCCCCCATCTCAATACCTTGCCCTTACCTCCACCTTCCCTCAGGGCAGTCACCCAGTGCATTCATTCATCAGGCCCTGAAAAGGCCCCCAGTTTACCCAGAGCCCCCTCCCCGTTTTCCATTGGAACTTGGCCTTGGAATTAGCGCCCAAGCTCGTCCCCGTCCCGCCGCTCCCCGCCTTTTTTGCCCACTTGAATCCCACTCCATTCACTCACTTTCCTGTCGTCTTTCTCAAAAGGAACCAAGGTCTTTGGGCTCGCCCGTCGCCACTGTGTCGTTGTCGTTTGCTCTTGCATTGCTCCCCTCTCTCTCCGGTCCGCTCAACCTCAAAGCCGGTCCCTTCATCCCGAGGAATACAGCAGGAAACCTCATTCTTCCGTCCCCCGGTTTCGATACAGACCAGGAACCACCACCTCGACCCATATCGCCTCTGCTCATCTTACCTTTGAATGCCGAGACGTCACTCGCGCACCCCGAAACTACTACTCTCTCCCACCTCAATATCCATCTCCTGAGTCCTGCGGGGAAAGCTATCCGCCAACGTTTTACTTTCCAGTCTCTCGCTTCCAAGCCTTCTGATCTTCAACAAAACGCCCCGATAGTCTTATTATTTACTCAGCCTCGAACCAGAGGATCAGACGCTCGACGGCGGTCGCTCTTCAACTCCATCTACGCTACGTCAGCTCCTCCGACGAAACTATTCGACCACGCTAGTTTCTGTTTTTCTACCTGTGCCCAGTGCCGCAGTCGTCACACCTCGATCTACCTCGTCAAGTAGTCTGGATTGGCTTCGGCCCTTTTTTTTTTTTTTTTGCGACTTTGTGGCATCCTACGTCTGGGGTACAACTCTGTCCAGCTTCAACTGCACCATTTAGGTCTGCCCAACTTGCTCTCGCTGTCATGGCCGATCAGAATCCCACACAACCTCAGACCATGGAGCCTCCTCACCAGGTAAGCATGCTCGCATGATGTGCTCTCGAGACAGCATCTATCGCGAACCGTACTGATCGTTCCACGCAGGCACCGCCCAGTGTTCCCTCTCCTCTGTCCACGCCCGGTTCCGTCCCCATGATGAACTCGCCAGTTCCTCTCCTTCGCCCTGCCATACCCGGCGGCCGAGGCGGAGGTGCCCGAACACCTAGACTCGGTCTCGCCATCCCCCCATCACCAAATGCGAAACCCGTCGGCGGACAAGCACCTCAACCCGTAAACTCACGACCACCTCTCCCGACACTTCACCTGGCTACACCCATGGGCAGCCAGTCAACACCGTATGAGCAACCACCTCGCGTGGGAGGCGTAGGACAATCTGCAAGCGGCGGTAGCGAAAGCAGTGCGGCACACTCCAGATCTGGAAGCTTCGGCCCTCTGGATGGTCGAGCTAGCAACCCTACATCAGCTGGTTCTCAGTACTCGGCACTGTCCTTTGCCTCACAATATGGCTTTGCGCGGCCCCAAGGAACCCCCGACCCATCATCCGCCGTGGGCTCGATCTACTCTGAGCGGAGCGAAGGCGGTGTCGGTATGGAACGGGACGGCAGTTTGCAGGGTCTAGAAGCTTTTGACAAGCTGTCATTAGAGCGGGGCAGGACGCTGGATGTGGAGGAGCTCGACTCCGAGTCGTGGAGGGTCGCGAGTATGGAGAATCGGATCGAGGAGCTCGGCAGTCTCGGCGAGGGTGCCGGCGGAGCCGTTACAAAAGCCAAATTGAAGGGTGGAAAGACCACATTCGCCCTCAAGGTGCGAACGCTTCATTTCCCACAACGAAAAAATTGGAGACTAACATACCCAGGTTATTACCACAAATCCCGACCCCGACGTTAAGAAGCAGATCGTGCGAGAGTTGGGTTTCAACAAAGAGTGCGCGTCAGAGCATATCTGCCGTTACTATGGCGCCTTTGAGGACTCGACTACGGGAACGATCTCAATCGCCATGGAGTTTTGCGAAGGTGGTTCCCTGGACAGTATCTACAAGGAGGTTAAGAAGCTCGGGGGCCGGACGGGCGAGAAAGTTCTGGGCAAGATTTCCGAGGGCGTTCTGCGGGGACTAACTTACTTGCACGGCATGCGTATTATCCATCGAGACATCAAGCCATCCAACATTCTGCTCTGCAGGAATGGCGATGTCAAGCTGTGCGATTTTGGTGTCTCAGGAGACTTTGGGACTAAGGGTGAAGCCAACACCTTCATCGGCACCAGCTACTACATGGCCCCCGAGCGCATCACCGGTCAATCCTACACCATCACCTCTGATGTGTGGTCCACCGGCGTAACTCTGCTGGAAGTGGCCCAACATCGATTCCCCTTCCCCGCCGATGGCACAGAAATGCAGCCACGAGCCGGATTAATCGACCTACTCACCTACATTGTGCGGCAACCGATACCAAAGCTCAAGGACGAGCCGGATGCCAACATCTTCTGGAGTGACAACTTCAAGTATTTCATCGAGTGCTGGTAAGTGACGAAGGCTTAGAGCGAGTGTAAAGTACGAGATCATGTGCTGACCAACCAAAGCCTGGAGAAGGAACCCACAAGGCGAGCGAGCCCATGGCGGATGCTCGAGCACCCGTGGATGGTTGAAATGCGCGCGAAGCGTGTCAACATGGCCAAATACCTGGCTCAAGTTTGGGGCTGGGATACCAAGCAATGATTGGCTGATGGCCACAATGCCGTGACGACAGTAACATTGTTCCATACGGCGAAAACACGGCGACACGTCAACCACAAAGCAGTAAAAGGTGTATTGTTGCTCCTTGGCGGGAGAATCATGATCACCTAGGCCAGCCACCGAGGAAAGCACCAAACACACCACAAGCGAAACATGAACAAAGAACCAAGTTCAAAGTGAGACAACTCTATAGCGATGAAGCAAGCGGAAGGAGGCCATTTTTCATGATTTAATAAGCGACGGGCATACGGGCACAGGATTGCCAAATGTTACGCCTTTCGGGGGACAGATTTACTTTCTGGATATATGTAGCGGAGGCAGGCATGTACCTGGACAATCGACGGCAGCAGGTCGGGTATTCAGCGAAGACTGTAGGCATTGTTATGTATCCAAGCGATTGCCTGTTCGGTTTAGAGCAATACAAACAAAAACTATTCTGCCAATGCTGATTGGGGTTTACACTTTTCTTCATGGCCAGAGGTCATCAGGCTGAGGTGTGTTGGTAAGAGAAGGATTTGGCTCTCAGGTGGCATTGTACATATATATGCTTGATTCAATGAATCTCTCCGAGGGGGTATCTAGTCTACAACCATTTGCATGCCAAGTATATCACCTTTTGAGCCGGTGATTCCTTTGTATTTTTTGTCTGTTCTTCTTGTGGATGTGTTCTTTTTGTGATTTATTTCATCATGCCGCATTTGTAGTCTCGGAAGTCTCTGGGACCTCGGCAGTCTCGGTGGCAGCGGCAGTCTCAGTGACGACAGCAACAGGGACGACAGCAGCAGGGGCAGGGGCAGCCGAAGGAGCCGCAGCGACTTCGGACTCGTCGACGCCCATCAGCTCCCGCAGCGCGACGGTGGCGTAGGCGCTCTTGGGGAGCTGGAAGGTGACCACGACGGCTGTCTTTGTCTTTTCGGGGGACGACGACGGGTTACCGTTCGAGTCGTCGGTGGTGGTCTCCGCTTGCTGCACCGGCTCTTGCTTGGGTTCTTCGGGCTGCGTCGGCGCGTCTTGCATCGGCTCATCCGTCTTCTCCTCCGTGCCGGTCTCGGCCTCGGTCTTGACCTTTTTCGGAGCATCCTGCTGTTCCTCGGCCTTCTCATCCTCCTGACGACCTCGCTTCTTCCCATTCCCACCACGCCCAGCTGCTGCCGCTGCTGCTGCGCGGATACGGTCCATGTCGGTGGGGTGCATCTGCTCCTCGCCATCCTCGTACGCGCGGACCTCGAAGCTGGGCTCCGAGAGGAAGCGCACGACGACCTTGCGGTACGCTCCCGGCAGGCTGAATTCGCGGTGGCGGCGGAGCATGTCGTGCGGGTCGAGGCCGCCGTTGTCGCGCATAAAGGTGGTGTAGAACTGGCCGATGGCGTTGGTCGGGTACGCGACGGCGTGACCCGGGGAGGGGAGGACGATGTCGTGGATGGTGTAGGTTCCGGAGGCGGCTTCTTCGGCGGTGAGGGCGCGGGCTGGGGCGGCGGAGGAGTCTGCGTCGTCGTCTCCCCCTTCGTTGTCTACGTCCGCGTCGGCAGAAGAAGTGTCGAGGACGAGGTCGCCTTCGACTACGTTCTTGCCGTAGAGGCGCCAGCGGTGGCTTGCGGCGTGGTTCCAGACGTAGGACTGGTAGGCGTGGAGGTACATGTTGCGCAGCCCCCGGGTGATGCTCGTGAGGGCGCCGTTGAAGTCTCGTCGGGACGGGGCGGTGGTCCGGCCGAGATGGCGGATGAGGCTTGCCTCAGCGGAGAAACGGCGGGGCAGGTGGGAGAGGGCTTCCTCTGCGGAGCCGCCGTCGCGGAAGACCTTGCAGGCGCGGTGGCGGTTCAGCTCGTCGCGGGCGTGGCCTTGATCCGGTACTTCGCCTGCGAGGGCGCGCTGGGCAATGGCCTCATCGTAGTAGAGAATCGCGTTGACGGCGGCTTCAAAGTCGCCCTGCAGGAGGAAGCGGCCTACCTCGTGGGTGCCGATGGCATGGGTGCCGAAGCGCTGGTGGCCAAAGTAGTTTATCCAGCCCGGGTTGTGCATGCTCGCCATGGCGGCCTCGACGGAGGCGCGGATCTGGGAGGAGCGGTCGGCGGGGGGCAGGTCGGGGTTGCCGGCGACGAGGCAGTCCTTGAGGGCGATGACGAACTCGTTGCCCCTGTGGGCGCCGAGGTGGATGGGAGCATGTGCATAGCGGTAGTCGCCGACGGTGACGCCGAAGAGGCGGGCGCGGAGGAGGGCGTCTGCGCGCTGGCCGCGGACGGAGCAGCGTTGCGTGGTGGCGGCGCGGCGGTCTTTTGTGCCTGCCGTGCCGATGGCCTGAGGTTTGATGCGGAGGGCCTTGGAGATTTGGTGCAGGGCGTCCATGGTGTCGCGGTTCTCCTTGTAGAGGGTGAAGTGGAGGTACTCGCCCTCGCCGGGGGCCACGGCCTTGGGCTGCTTCTTCTTCTGCTTATTGTTTTCGCGGTTGTTGTCGCGGCCACCGCGAACGCCCTTACCCTTGCCGCGAGGGGGCGGGACTCGAGCGACGATAGCGCCCGTGGGATCGGTGGTGGTGTCGATGGTGGAGTTGAAGATGCGGCGGACATTTTGGTGGAGCTGGGAACGCTTGTCCTTGTCGTCCATGACGGGGGACGTGACGGGCTCGGTTTTTGCCGTCTTGTCGGCGGATATCGTCTTGTAGATGGCCACGAGCTGGTTGGCGAAGTCGTCGTTTGTGAGGGAGGCGAGGAGCGCGATGTCCTCGGCGGGGACTTCGGGGATTACAGCGGCGGGCTTCTCAGCGGCTTCTCCATCTTGTGATGGCTCTTCTGGCTTCGGCTCTTCTTCCTTCTTCTCTTCCACTACAGGAGCAGCAGGTGCAGGAGGTGCTGGTGGAGGCGGCGTGTTCTCCTTTGGCGGCGGGGGAAGGCGTGTTTCTGTGAGATGGAGGACGGAACCATCTTTGTTGATTTCGTAGACTTGAAAGTCGGTATATCTGAGTAGTTGTGTTAATGAAGAAGTATCATGAAGCGGCTGGGGGAGGGAACTCACCTCTTGCGCATGTCTCCAGTCCAAGCGACCATGCTCGACGCGATGCGCTCAGTGATGCCGAGGGACGCATCGAGGCGCGTGCCGTTGGAGCGGCGGACTTCGGCCGCCATTGTCATCTGATTTGACGCGTAACAAGGATCAAACCGATTTCTCGAGTAAAAAGAGGTAGAACTTGGATGAATTGATGAGCCTGAGTGTGTGAGGATGAAATGCTGCATGAAGCTACATCGCGGGGCTCAATTGCCATATTTTCAGGAATTGCCAGCAGAAAGTAGTATATGGGATGAAATATGGCAGGCGGTGTAATCGAGTTCCACCAGGATTGTCCCATCTAGGAAAGCGGTCAGCTTCGCCCATCCACTCAAGCCAATTCTCATGTGAGATTCGCTCACTTTCATATCACTTAGAAATGCGATTGACTTTCATGAGTTCCTATTTTCTTTTCTTTTTACTTCAAAGCTACCTTTTCAGTCCACCTTCAGCCTCAAAATCTCGACCGCATTGCCGCCCATGATGGCCTTGGCCTGCTCGCTTCCCTCACCCACCGCAACAGCAACGGCATCGGCATTCATGCTCACACTCTCCCACTCTCCCTGCTCATCAGAGGTCAATGGCGGGAAGAAGGGATGGTCGGTACCAAACATGAGTCTATCCGCTCCACTGGCATCGATGGCCGCCTTCAGCCCGACCTCTGAGTAAATGACGGCATCGAGGTAGATTTGCTCCTTGAGCACGCTCCAAATCGTCCGGCGGCCCTTGCCGACCTTGCCTTCGCGCACCAGCTGCCCGTCGTGCATGATGCAGCTCTCGATGCGCCCGGCCAGGAAGGGCAACGTGCCACCGCTGTGCGCCAGGAGCATCCGCAGCTCGGGCACGTCGTCGAAGACGCCAGCCAGGTACATGCGCGCCACGGCGATGGTGGTCTCCATTGGGAAACCCAGGGCCAGGGGAAGAACGTGACCGTACTCGTTGCTTGCCCTGGGGCCCCAGACGTCGTTGGGCAGCCCGTAGTGCGGGTGTAGGAAGATGGTCAGGCGGGCGGCGGCGATGGCCTTGAAGATGGGCAGCAGGTCCGGGTCGTCAAGGCCTTTGCCCAGCCCAGAGGTGCCGAGGATGATGCCGCGGCAGTACTTGAGCGCCTTGACGTGGTTGATGGCCTCCAGGATGGTCTCGAGTGATGCCGTCAGGGGCAGAGCAGCAAAGAAGAAGAGGCGGCCTGGGTGCGCGGCGCACATGCCGTCGAACTCCTCGTTGACGCCCTTAGCCATAGCGCCGGACTCGGAGGCATCGATGAAGTCAAGCCATGGGTTCGCCAAGGAGATGACCGAGATGTTAATCTTGTGCGTGTCCATGAAGTGGACCTTTTGGTCGAGCGAGGCGTAGTGGGAGGTGAGCGGCCGGCCGGGAGGCTTCGCTGAAAGATCCTTGGTGGCCTCATCCAGGGCCTGTTCCTCCGAGGCCAGGAGGATGAGGCGTGGGTCTGGTGTTTGCGGGAAGCTGCGCACGACGGGAATGGTGGTTCTGGATTCGAGGATCTTGACGTACGACGGGGGGTACATGTGGGTGTGGACGTCCACCACCGTCATGGCTGTTGATGAGGCCATTGTGAAATCGGACGAGCAGACGACGTCCCTTTACTGTCTTTCGTCTTGACTCGGAGGTGGTGCTGAGATGACCCGAATTTCAGTCAGTCTTATTAGTAAGTCTACTTGTCGTTAACCAGTGGTTCAGCTTTGAGGTTTCAATGTCACGATGCTGGGTCGACTTACAAGATGAAGAGGCTCACTTGTAGCTGAGATGGTGAGAGATATCGGCTTATCTCTTCTGCAATCCAGGGACAAGAAAAGAAGCCAATCCCGTTATTGTTGTGGTCTGTTTTCAAGTTGGAAGCTTTCCCAGGAGCAAGCAAAGCTGTGTTGCCCCTCGTCTTCCTTTTTAAAAAGACAAGTACCAGTTACCCGACAAACTACGTCTTTCCAGGAAGGTGATGAGGTCGCCATGACCCGCAACGCCTGGTTCCCCCTCCAATCCATGTTCCCCTCATATGCAAGCGCCTCAATGCACCGCATACCTCACAAAACCCCACACGCGGGCGTCTCCAAAGGTAAGTAAGGTAGGCAATCCTTCCCTTGTCGATTATCTTTCTACTTTACCCCGCCGTTATCTCCAATCGTCTTTCCGCGCGCCGGCCTTTAACGCACCACCAGCCTCTTATCGTCAGACTTTCCTTCTCCCCCCTCTCTCTCCAGTGTGAGACACTGAGGTATTGCTTACACATAAGTATAACGTGTAGGAGCTCTCCGATGAACTTCCCACTCGTGCACCCGCGGACCCAGCCGGTCTTGTTAAAGAGTTCTCTCTTGAATCTCTCCCCGTAATGCCCCGTCCTGGCCGGGGATCAACAAGGGGCAACGCCTGGCCCCGTCCGGAACTGATTAGACGGCGCCGGTGGTTGGCTGTTAACTTACGATGTTAATGCTCGGCTTCTGGTTGGCTGGGCCGCCGCCAGTCGCCCGCGACAAGGTACTTACTCAACCTACCGTATCGACGGATAGATATAAGTCGCTCGGAATCTGTACCGCACGGATTCTAGTAACGAACCTTATCGTGACTTCTTACTCGAGATTACAACTCACCTTGATACATGTGATGCTCCCATTTCTCCCATTTCTCAACTGAAACGTCCACCTCGGATCTCTCATTCATCACCTCTTAAATCAGTGAAAAGCATCAGCAAGATCATCATGGCAGCTACAGCAGTAGACAAGGAGGGTCTTTTCATCCCCGTGAGTGACATCAGTGACATACCATCACAGTCGCCTCAAGCATCACCAATTGACACCAAACATCAAGCTCATCGACTTCTCGGCCTTCCTCAACGGCGACGCCGCCAAGCGCAAGGAAACAGCAAAACAAGTCCTTGACGGCTTTCAAAACGCAGGCTTCATCTACCTCCAAAACGTCCCCATCAGCCAAGACCTCCGCGCCGCCACGTTCGCCAAATCAGCAGACTTCTTCTCCCAGACCGACGCCGTCAAGCAAGGCCTCGGCTGGACCACCCCGCAGGCCAACCGCGGTTACTCCGCGCCCGGCCGCGAGAAGGTCAGCAACCTCACTACCAACGAGGAAATCGAAAAGGTGCGCGCGGGGAACCCGGATCTCAAGGAGTCGTTTGAGATTGGCCGCGACGGCGAGCCGGACCACCCGAACCAGTGGCCCGTCGAGCGGGACGGCGAGCGCGTGGCCGGTTTCAAGACGCAGATGCTCGAGTTCTTTGGGCAGTGCAAGGCGCTGCACGTCGAGGTGATGCGCGCCATCGCGGTGGGCATGGGGTTGGAGGATGAGCGGTTCTTTGACGGGTATACCGACGTCGGGGATAACACGCTGCGTCTGCTGCATTACCCTTCCGTCGACCCCAACGTCTTCAAGGTGAACCCGGGTCAGGTGCGCGCTGGAGAGCACAGTGACTACGGGTCGATTACGCTGCTGTTCCAGGATGATCGCGGAGGTCTGCAAGTGCGGAGCCCGAATGGGCGGTTCGTGGACGCTACGCCTATTCCTGGGACGGTTGTTGTGAATGCTGGGGATTTGCTTGCGCGGTGGAGCAATGATACTATCAAGAGCACGATTCACCGCGTCGTAGAGCCACCGCGGAAGCCGGAGGACGGGGAGGAGTATCCTCCCCGTTACAGCATTGCGTGAGTGGCCGTGTTGGCCGTGGTGTCTGTTTTCAAAGCTTTTGACGTGCTGACGATGATGAATAGGTACTTTTGCAACCCCAATTTCAAGAGTCATATCGAGGCTATCCCTGGGACGTACGCAACGGAAGCGGAGAAGAAATACGACGGTATCAACAGCGGGCAGTATCTCGTGCAGAGGCTGACGGCCACTTACTAGTGCGCATTGTTGAAAACGGCCATCAAAATTTGTAGTGAATGTTCAGAAGCGAATTGAACTTAATTGCTTGGCTTTTGAAGCATCGCATCCCGCCAGAGACTTCCTACAATTTCATTTCGGGAAGGGGAGTCTTGGTCTCTTCGGGCCGAAATTCAGAGGCCATGCTCTACACCTGACCTGGAACATACTCGACATGAGCATACTGTCTTTACTGGCTCCAATCATTTTACGGGGTGAATTTTATCAGATTGGGTACAAAGACGGCACTATTTGGGCAAAATGGGTTTGTGACTAGATTTGGGATAGATGGAATGATCAAAAATAAGTATCGTTGAACTACTCGGCATTGCAACAGATCCATTTCACACGAACCAAAGAAACAGCATGGGGTAACTCGAGATGAAGCCCGAATATGCGACATGACTGTCTCTCCGTCATCAAAGTTTCCCTTTGTCTGTCGCATCGTCTGTCGCATCGTCTGTCGTATCGTCTGTCATATCGTCTGTCGCACCGTCTGTCGCATCGTCTGTTGGACAATCCAGTTCCGAGTTCTCCAAGACCTTTTGTCCAACCCTTACTAGTATGATAGCCGCCATTGAGCACGAAACCTCGACCAGCGGGTTGACTTTAGCCTCCTTGCCGAAGCGAGGGAACAATGTGTACATTGCAAAGGGAAATAATAAGGCAAAGGGCATGAACACTGTTTGACAATAAAAGTCAGCCTCTTGCGGCCTTTTGATCCACCATAAGGGTGCCAGTATGAGGTTGGCTCTGTGGCGAAGGAGGCCGGAGAGGAGCAGTAGGCTTTCAGCCGTCGCGGTTTTCTTCCAGCTGATGGAGGTCGTGCGTCTTTTGCGATTCAGCCCCCAGGCGATAATGGGTATCACATTGAGTAAGAAATCGCTTGCGAATAGCAAGGGGTTTTGGCAGCGCAACGTCTGAACAACTGGTGACTCCATTACCGGGTACATATGCGTGATGAATTTGGCAACTGACCTGGCATTTTGGGCCAACGACTGGGTGTAAGAAACATTGACGAGAAATCGCTCCCGGTCGAGAAACTTTTCTCGTTCAATCTTAGCCTGAGGGGCGCTAGCTTTCAGTGAGAAACCGTTCCTGAGTTCTGTCAAGTTGCGACTTTCATTGTGTAGAAAGTTCCAGACAGTTCGTTCGTCCAGGTTGTCTGGTACAAGGTGCTCCAGTTCCTCTTTTTTTCGCATGGGTATGGTGTAGCAGACAAACGGTGGAGGTTCTAGCTCGAAAGAGAAGAAGGCTCTAAGCGAAGTCCTCTTTTCCAAGACAACGACAAATCCATCCCCATCACTGCCGTCGTCTTGTTCGTCATCCATCGGGATTTTCTTGTAGTGAAGGAGAATTCGTGGCCAGTGCACACTGTGAATGTCTCTCACAACTACCAAACTCCTTTCCCTCTGGTAAAACTCCTTTGGCTTCACTCTCACTAAGCGTGTGGCCCAATCGTCTGGGCCTTGGATTCGGATGACTGTCGACCCCCAGTCGTTCCAAAGAGATGGTACATCAGGCAGACGCTGCTGATCAGAGTTTAGAAGGCAAAAAGTCATTTGCTGACATTTCTTCGCAACTTGCCAGGATAAAGTGACGAGACCATCCGTTTCCCGTTCATATTCGTCGGCGACATTGGTATGATATAGTCTAACCGCAAGAATCTGGTCGAGACTGTTGTCCAATATGCAGTTGAGCACACCGTAGGAGCATTTCCCCCGGCCTTTGAGGACAGGAAGAGTGACATGCAGACCGCGGGTTGTCATATTAGTGCTAAAGTTGCTTTTTTCATAGAAATCTATAGCCTGGGTTGAGGTCCACCAGGCAAAGTCATCGGGGCACTGGGCCAACAACCCTTTGTCCCAAAAGATGCCAAATGGACTGTCAAGGTTTTTGTCCGGCTCTGGCTTGCCCTCGTACTTCCATGTCCATGATGGTATCGAATCGTCCGAAGACTGCCCCATCATCTCGGTCTGCGGACTCTCCAAAGCCCCTTCCCCCTCGCTCTCGCTTGTCAATACGAGTGTCGAATTGTCGGTAAACTGCATCATATCATTTCTTTCCATAAGCTCGATACGTGCCCTTTCGAGAGATATTCCCGCCTTGCCCTTCCTTGCCCATGCGAGTATTGAATCGTCGGAAGACTGCTTCATAATCTCGATCTGCAGCCTCTCAAAAGCCCTTTCCCCCTCGCCATAGAGCAGTGGCATGTTAACATCAAATATCCCGAGAAGAGAGTATGCTATATCCTCTACTCTCGTTGTCTGCCGCCGAGCAGCCCACGACATCCGCATGGCGATCTTTGCGGAGTGGATAGCGGGGTATTCTTCATTTCTTTCGAGGAAATCGGTCGGTATACTGGTGATGGACTCGATCTTGGGCGCTAGTGAAGAGCGAGTGCCAAGATTCTTCCACGCAGCATCAAAGAACTCGACTGTTTTGGGGGCGAGAAGCTCCTGCAACGTCCAGCCTCTAGTGAACCACCGACTGTCGCAAAATTGGCTGTCGAAGCTGCTCGGATCATCGCCTTGCTGGACGTCTTCGAGATAGGCATAGCAGGTAGAGGATTCATTGTACCACTGGTACATGGAGTTGATAGCCTCGGAGAGTTCTGTACTGCTCGTCTTGTCGATGCAGCAAGTATCAACCCACACCCACTTGATGCCATCTCGGGCCGCCAGGCAGCAGGTGCCGTCGATCTTGACGTAGCCTCGTTTGTTGGTGTGGTCAGGACGGTCGAGGTCTTGGAAGGTGACCTCGTCGTCGCCCCAGGTGTGTGACAATATCGCATATCTTGGTATATTGACGACGAATTCTTGTAGCTTTCTCGTTTCGACGTTCAAGAGTCGCATGTTGTCAAAAATGTACGTGTTGACAGTGATTTACAAGTTGGTAGATGTTTGTGTTTCGACAGAGAGTGGCTACGGCGTAAGTACGACTGCTGGTGACCCAAAGTCACACAAACCCCGCGTGAGATCATGCACCTCGCTCAGCCTTAGTAACTGCGGCGGACACGCCTGGTTGCCTGCATATTGGCAAATCAATGAGCAGGCCCAGCGTGACAGGCGATGGGTTCAGATCAGAATATTAAGCAAAAAAGTTGGTAATATTTGGTTCCTGGCTTATAACCTCGCCATCTTCAAGATAGGAACTACAAGTAGTAGACGAGATGAGTGTGTTAAGTAGGGCCATCCGATATGGGAAATACCTATTAATATATCAGAGGGGTGGAGGGGGGCTGACCTTTGATTTCTGGTTCAAATTTATTGCTCGAGATGTTTGTCTGAATCCCCGTCGTCGTGGCTGGTGGTTTTGTGGATAGCTCAGTGTAAACCAGTCGACCTCCACGGGTTGCTTTTCCCCCAAGGGAGGCACGAGGTATCTTGAGGGAAGGATAGAGGGAGGGATGCTGTCACATGGTGGGGTGGCAAGGCGGGGCAACCTTCAGGTACCGCGTTGATGCGCACTGTCCCAACACTGTATACAGACGTCAAGCTCCAAGCTCCAAGCTTCATCAACGACATCGCATAGCTGTTCACAACTCTCATTCTCACTCATGTTACTTAGAACAGAAAGGCAAGATGAAGAAGACATTACTCATAGTTTTCATTCACGGATTCAAGGTACGTAATTTCATGCTCATTCTAACGGTTTACGATCCCTAACGACCCGACACAGGGAGGTGACGACACCTTTGGCGACAAGGAAGGCTTCACAGCACAGCTCCGCGCAGACCTCGCCGCCCTCCTCCCAAAGATCAACGTAAACGTCCTCGTGTATCCCAAATATGAGACGCGCGGCGACCTAGGAGACTGCGTGAGTCGCTTCCGCGACTGGTAATCCTCCATTCCCATCACAGCCGACCATCAACCAGGTCATCACTGACACATGTCCCAGGCTCCTCGAAAAAGTAATCGACCTCGAAGTCGCAAACAACACCCCCTCACCAACAGTAGACCCCTCCGTCCGCGTCGTTCTAGCAGGCCACTCCATGGGCGGCATCGTCGCCGCCGAGACCGTAATAGGCCTCACCTCGGAAAAGCCAATCTACTCGGAAGACGGCGTCGAAAAGGCGGCGGACTCGTCCACCGCGACCTTCAACAGCCTCATGTTCCCCTACATCCAGGGCGTCATCGCCTTCGACACGCCGTACCTGGGAATCTCCCCCGGCGTCGTCGCCCACGGCGCAGAGGGCCACTACAACACCGCCAACGCCGCCATGACGCAGCTCAGCGGCCTCGGCACCGCGCTCTGGGGCGCGAAGCAAGCTACTTCTTCGCCATCTAGGAATAAAGCCCCCGTCGCTGCACTACCTGCTCCTCCGGCAAACTCCTCACAGCAAGGCGGTGGATGGGGATGGGGCAAAATCGCAATGGTAGCAGGCTCCGCCGCCGCCGTGGCAGCGAGCGCGGGAGCGGCGTACTACAACCGCGAACACATCACCCAGGGCCTGACGTGGGCGACGTCGCACCTCGAGTTCGTCGGCTGCCTCGCAAAGGGCGCGGAGCTGCAGAAACGGGTGCAGTACATGGTCAAGCTCAACTCCGAGCTCGACGTCGGCTTCGCGAATTTGTACACCCGCCTCGGCAAAGCAGCGGGTTCCAAGGAGGTCAGCGTCGTCGGCACGGTTCTGGGCCGGGACCGGACGTTTTGTAATCTGCCGAAGCGGGATAATGGTGGGACGTGGAAGCAGGCTGTGAATGATGTCGCTACGGAGGAGACGCAGGCGCATATGAGTGAGTAGACCCCCTTTTTGCAGAACCACGAGTTGCCCAAGGTTGTGGACGTAAGTCGTGGTTTTTGCTGACTGGAAGGCTAGACATGTTCGAACCAAAGATGAACCCGGGGTACGACAAACTCAAGGAAGACGCGGCAACTCTTATCGCCCAGTGGACGCGAAACGAGTGGTACGAGTCTAGCGAGGAAGACAAACTCGCTATAAAGGAGGCGGGAGAGAGCGCCACCGCTTGAGATCTTAGACTATGGTGTTTCCTTTTTTCTATATAATTACGGTTGCTGGAGCAGGGACGCACATTTTTGTAGACGCCCATCCTCTTTTTCTCTTTTTTGTCTATAACCATACCATACCCCCGACCATTATATAGTCCTTATACCCCACCTAAATTTTGGATTTCACCCCCTTCTCTTCTCGAGTCGAAGAAATTACTGCGTCTTGGAGCGGCCCGCCTCCTCGGCCTTCAAGTTGCGCATAACCTTGCTCCTCTGCTTCATCATGTACGTGTAGAGAATATACGATCCTATTTCCCATTCGTCAGCACTCCTTCCTCGCGATCACAGACATAAAACGGAAGGGGGGAAACATACCAGGAACATAAACAGCAAGAATAGCATACGAAATCCACGGCACCAACTCCCCAAACTGCCTTGCCGGCGTCGCAGCGTAGTAAATCAGCACGCACTCGCTCGTGATGCCGATGGGATACAGCACGAAGAACGTGTTATAGCGCAGCCACGTCAAGAACTTGGGCTGGAACCCGCTGAGGGTGAGCGCAAAGTACGAGTAGCGGATCACCTCGGTGACGCTCCAGGCGAGCAGCATAGACGAGTACCAGGGGCTGCGGGCGAGGTAGGGGAACGGGTAGACGACGCCCCAGACGAGGACGAAGCGGGATAGGACTTGCATTACGGTCGTGAAAACGGGAGCGCGGACGACGCCTGTTGGACATGGTTTGTTAGCTATTATTCAATGTTTTTTTCCTCTGCTACTCTCTCTCTCGTCGGGTTTGTGTAGAATGGGGGGGAGAGTAGACGAATGGGAGGTGTAGGAAAGTTCCAACGAACCGAGCAAAGCGTGCAGAACCTCCATGGCAGCCATAGTCTGCGTCCACCGCGTCCAGTCGCCCACACCGAGATGAACGAAATGCGGCCCGCGGAGCGCAAAGAGCGCGACGGTGCGGCCGAGGACGGTGGCCCAGGCGACGGCGGAGACGAAGTTGTAGGCGATGAGGTAGCCGTTCTTGAGGGGGGAGGATTGTCGCCGTTGCGGCGGCTTCGCCGCTGCTGCTGTTGCTGCGTCGGCCATTGTGTTTATTCTGCGATTCGAGCTTCGTGTAGTGATTTCCAGGGGTTTGCGTGATGCGAGGGGAGCTTCGATTGTTTTTTTGTTCAGGTACCCGGTGGTGATGTTGGCTGGCGAGATGGGTGGTTTTGCAGATGCAATGCTTATTGGGAAAGATTGTTGAGGGAGGTTGAGCTGCAGCCAAGGGTCCATCCCAATTGTCCCACATCCAATTGGGACCGAGGCATGTGGCATCCGGCCCTGCCTATGGGTGGCATGGCATGGCGCATGGGTGCTGGGGGTGTCCCACTGTACAAGGCACGTCGCGGCGCGCGTCGGTGCTGGTTTACAAGGGTCGAGCTCTGAATGCTTGATCCGACCACTCCAACCCAAAGCTCCTGACTGACTAACTCTGGTCCCTGAGCACATGGCACAGTGTGTTGAGGGATTCAAGGTAATCATGAGCCGCCCTAACAAGCGTGAAAATGCATTTCATTGTGTAATACTAAATAAGCAAATCCCAATATTTGAACCCCGTTGCTATGCTGGCCTAAATCAGATGCAAACACTCCCGTCTCGTCTCGACTGTGAAATCACAATCACGCCCACAGCTGGTAAAACATAGCCGACATCAAGGCCACAGGCACCCAGAAAGCCATGGCGCTCGACTGGCCCAGAAGCTGCCCAGGCGCCGTACCGTTGTGCAGCATCACCGCTGCGCCAATCGTGTTTGACGAATCGATACTGCACACGATCTGGCACTTGCCCTCGCCGCGGCGGCGATCCAGCTGACCCCTAGGACCGAGACCGGCTTGGTGGTAGCTGTTATCGAGGACGTCGCGCTTCGAAGACGATTCCGTGGAGTTGAAAACCATCTCGATCCACTGGATCTGCATGACGGCCGAGTGCCCGACCTCCATGACGCCAGACCACGACCCGCCGTCGCTCCACGAGTTGAGCATGACGCGGCTGGGGTCGCGGGGCACTTGAAAGGAAATGCTCGACACCTCGGACCCGTCGACGAGCCAGGTGCTGTCCTTGGCGTCCCAGTCCAGGCGGTGGACGGCCCAGTCGCGCCACGAGGTGCCCTTGGGCATGGTGCCGTTCTGCGTCGACTTATCGATGGTGTTGCCGCTCGAGTCGAACGACGGCTGGTTGGTGTACTGGATGCGGTCGTCCGGGTCCTTGGTGAGCACCTCAATGTCAGCCTCCTGCACGTTGGCGTACTTGTCGGCCTCGCGGTAGGTGAAGAGCGCCGTGCAGGCGCCCGGGTCGCCGAGGGTGCGGGCGAGCATGCGGACCGAGACGAAGTGGTAGCCCATGGAGACGGACTCCATCTCGGCCGAGGACTGGAAGTCTTCGAAGCGGACGGTGCGCATGCTCATGAACGTGTCCGAGGTGGCGTCCTTGTCATTGTTCTTCTCAATGTAAATGTTGTTTGGCGAGTTGACCATGTTGACCGTGGCGTCGTTGCCGTCTTTCCCCTTGCGGTCTGTGTTGTTCCAGTTCTGGATACCCCATATCGCGTTCCATGCGTCCGAGTTGAAGTAGTCGGATGTCGTGTTTGCGTTGGCACTCGCATCCCAGTCCGTGAGGGCATCTGGGACCCCGGCGTATTGACCGAGGTTGCGGAAGTCGAAAAACAAGTGGTTGCTGAAGTAGCTTTCTGATGTGTTGGTCAAGTAGCAGTCGCATACTGAATCGGCAACATAGGGGTGGTCATCGGCCACAACCAACGGCAACAGCGTGAGAGCGAGGCTCACGAGAGGTGCCCGTCTGAAAGACATGATTCCGCTGCTGCTGCTGCTGCTGCTGCTTGTCCGTGTGTGGCTTGGCGGTTGGGGATGCGGCTCTGTCAGGAATGCAATCGAGAGTCTGGGGAGGCAGAAGCAGAGAGAGACGGGACATGGGACGAGTTTATTAAAGAGTGATCGACAAAATCGTCCGAGTGGTTGTCTTCACCCCGTGGGCCGTATTCAAAGGCGACGTCGCCTTGGAGGTTGTCCCCTGCCACGGTGCACCGGAATGTGAGACGGAATCGTGCGCGCGCAAGTGCTTCTTTTTCCCTTCCGGATGCCTTATCCAGCCACTAGATGGCCAGGCCCTCGCCTCACCCGAGAGATGGCAGCCCCCGGATCGAGGATTCTAAAAGGTGGAGTGAGATGGCAAGGGATAGGTAACGTGAATCAGAACCTAATTCAAATTGTCAAAGGTAAAAGCAAAGCGACCGATCCTTCACGGAAACGGCGACGGGTTCTCCTGGCGATGCTAGCGGCGCCACTGGGTAACATAAGCCAAGACCGCCAAAGATTTGGGGGGGAAACGTCCTGGGAAAGTTCGAGTCCATCATCTGCAGGGACTGCGACGGCGGCGCAGGTTTGTGGTAGCACAGAGTCTCCGTAGGCACCTAGGTATCATCGGGGGCGGCCTCCCCAGTACAATAGGCACGAGGATAAACTTGAAGAAGATGATCCCTCGTCAGGGACTGAGCGGGAAGGCTAGGTGACGGTGATGATCTGAAAAGAAACTTGACCCAAAACGGGGAGTCTTGGGTTGGGTAATGACACCCCAGCCAGTCCGGATGCGGCGGCCATCGATTCGCTCTTGGTTTCTGTGTCGTTAGCGTCGTTGGTTGGAGGAGATGGCCGTGACCGCTCTACCTTGACTTCTAGGTAAGCGGGTAGACGGCGATGGCACCACGGCGGCGGCCACGGTCATGCGTCGAGCTTGTGTGTGTGTGTGTGTGTGCTATTTGTGGCCATAAAGAAAACCAAGCCCCCCAAACCAAAGGAAGCCTACTGGTTGGGTAGGTAGCCCGCTCATTTGCCCTGGGACGTTGCGTTGGCGGGCCGAGTGGTGGTCGGATGGTTTGTGGAATACGATGTTTCTTCGCAGCTAACGTAGGGCCGATGTTGTATCGGAAGGGGGAGGATGGAAACATGAAATGAAAGGAACTAGCGCTCTGCTTTCTTACCCCGTGAGGTCAGTGCGAAAACAACCTCGAGGATCTTGTTTCCTGTAAGGCAGACTACGGATACCTTGGACTTGTATTACCTAATTGGGAACATGTGAAGGCGTCCCACACAACATTGAGCATCGCCCTATCAAATGCTGTTTCTCGTTTACCCCGGTCACATCTACCCGCGGACTGCGAAGTACAGGGCTGAACTGCACCCTCGAGCTCATTCTGAGTTCCTATCGCGGTAGATGCCGTGTCTAGATCTCAGGCATGTGGCCGCTAAGTACTAGACTCGGTGACTCTAAATCCTCTCAGATCTCAAATGCTCATCACAAGACACGGCTAGTCTTAATCAAGTTTCCGAGGCTAACATGTTCAACATGGTCCAGTGTATTCATAAGAAGCGACAGTGTCGAGCAAAAGCGCCATTAGAAAATGATCTGCCCTTTACCAGTTGTGACCGCTTGTGTATTGCATATTAATTACATCCACCGCGTGGGGCAAATTATAGTCTTAATGGCCCCTCCTCATTACAGCATGTGCGTCATGAAACTTCAAATCATCAAACAGAGCCGGCCGTTTCCCCAAAAGACCTCCCACTGTATGTGCATCAACTGGCGAGGAAAATGGTAGCAAGGGAAGCCCTCATCCCAGACCTCAGATGACACCTTGAGTAAACTCATCCAAGATGGTCATCTCTTCAAAGTTCTCAATCAAGCGATCAACCCTCGCCGCCTCGCGGTCCGTCACGGCGAGGTCGAGATCAGTCACAAACATGCCAGTCGCCCGGCCGCCCGCCTTGGGTCCCTTGCGAGATCTGAGGTCCTCCAGCAGTCCTAGGGCTTCCGTCATGTCCATGCCCCCCTTCCTGACAACCATGGAAAGGAGACCACCAGCAATCACTTCGGCAACGGTAAAAGAGCTGTATAAGGCCTGGTAGGCGCGGATGCAGCTGAGAAAGTAGGGTCGCCACTCTGGATTCGTTATGTCGCTAGCTACGGCGTTGGCTACATGGATGAGAGCGGTGTGTCCAAAGATGCTGTACGTCGATTCCGGGTACAACGCGTACACCTCGACGAGGTCTTTGAGCTGCTCGACGGATGCCGCAAAAAAGGCAGGTATCTGGTCGGCTGACGGTGACCAGAATTTGAAGCCATGCTGTTTGTCGCTTGGGATGAACGGCCTAAAGAGGTAGAGCACAGTCCCGTGGAACCACATGCTATGACGGATGTTAATTCGCACGCCGTACACTGACGGGGCCAAGAAATGGTAAACTTACTGGCAGGTAAGCACATGAGATGGGCTGTGCTCGCCACGTTCCATACTTTCAGACAAATTATCTGCCCATGACAGTAGTTTGCTATACTTCTCCAGTGCAAAAGCTTGGGATGAATGGCCCGGGCTGGTATCATGCTGATAAACCCAAGTGATTTGAGAAGAAATGACCCATAGTTCGCAAAAGGCGGCGAACGTGTCTGATATCGCGGGAGATCGCCCTCTCTTGGTGCGATTGCGAGACTGGGAACGAGCATCCGAGTCTGATGAGGGCGCCGTGCTATTTGCGCTGCTGCTACGTTCGTGCTTAGATCCGAGTGCTGGTTTCCCTAGTCTAGCTTTGCCTGGAATGGGAAGAGTCGGAGGGTATTCAGTAGTCGCTGGTAAACAGAACTGGGCCGTCATACTGCGCTCTTCGTCAGCTATGCTCACTTATGGTGAACGACTCTTTGGAATGGCCTTACCTCAGAGTATTGAAAACCCCCCAGGCAACTTGAGCTGTTGCCCTGGCCTGTGGTTCCGAGAGACGATTTAGGTCCACAAAGGTATATGCATCGGGGCACCCAAAGAGCCTCAGACGCTTCGCCATAGCTACTGTATCTTTGACGAACTTAACATTGAGTTCACCATTACCATTACAGCCGCTGGACTGGATCAAGAAGGTCAAAGCTGCAATGGTAGGCAAGGTATCATCGTTTTGCGCATGCCAGAGCTTATTCGACTCGTCTTCCAGCTCTTGACTCCACCGAGACGCTTCAGGTTGCTTTGCCGCATACGCTTGCTGGTCAAAACAATCAATGACATTATTCTCAAGAGGAGGAATAGGGGACAACTGACACAAGCGAAAGCAAGCAGAGCATTGACGAGCAGTGAGGAACAGTACCGAACTTCACCGTTGACCAAGTCGTTCAAGAACAGATCAGCATCAAACAAGCCTAATATCGGATGATCCGTTTCCAGATATAGAGAGATGACTTCTGCCGCATCCTGATTACTGATGGGCACTACGGTCCAAAAGGCAATGTTCAAATCTTTCAGACGAGGCTCGTTGCGAATGCGCGGCGTCGGCGGAGGAATAGGGCCCATTGGTGGAACAAAGAAGGCCGAGTCGAATGCTCGAGAAGGCCGTGGAGAGGCTGTAGAGGAATCATCTTCCAGGATTTCAGCCACAGTTGGGTATTCCGGTGCTCGACGGTCCTCGAGAATTGAACCCTCTTCGGATGCGTCCTCAACCCGAGCGACTTTGGAAGGCCTAGAGTCGACATCCTCGGGCATCTCGAGACGACCTAATCTCCGAGTCTGAGGATACAAGATGGGATGGCGTCGCGTGAGTTCAAACTCGACATTGGACGAGATATGAGGCAGGATCTCCCGGGCATCCCTTGGCCCCGACGGCCTTATCGCGCGAAGAGCAGCGTAAGGGTCGACGGCGAACTTGAGCTTCTTCAATGTCTGATGGGCAACATCATCCGGCATTGCCGTGAGCTGGCTCAACATTTCTCGGAGCATTTGATTTTCCCTTTTTAAAGCCATAGCGGCTGTCTCCGTCTCATTAGCGCTGATATAGACACATTGTGTCTTCAGCTCTGTACACGCCTTACACGAAGGGCGTTTGCCGTCACACTTGAGTCAGGATGTCAGCGCATAGACTGAGTCAAGAGGACCTGCCATAGTAGCAAGATAAGAGAGTTATGCTTACTGCTTTTTTCTTGGACCGACAAGCGTTACAAGCAACCTTGGTACTTGGTAGACGCTTCTTGACTGATGATTGAGTTGGAAGGAAGCGTGCTGGAGGAGGAGGAGGAGGAGGAGGAGCAGGCTGCGAGGCTTTTGGTGCCGGGAGCAGAGGCCGCAACGGCTGGGGCTTGGCCTGGTCAGACATGACAGCCAACGGCCTCGCAGCTAGTGCGGCCGGATTGGTGCCACGAGAAGCTACCTAGGTAGACTTGAAGTTGAGATTTGGTGAAGAGATATCGTCGTAGATGTCGTGTGTGCTGTAGGTAGAGGGATGTCATGGGATGACTGTTTCGTCCAGGGTCGTATAACGAGACTGACCGCTCGCGACGAAAGAAAAGTGAGGGGTATTTGGCATACAGACGAGAGGCAGAGACAGCATAATAACCGATCGAGAAGCTGTTGAACGGCAGGCAGAGAAGAACAAACAATCGTCCCAATGGGGAGAGAAAGGCAACACGTGAAGACGATGGCTTGCGGAAGACGTCGACATTGGCTCCCGGTTCCAACAACAGGTCGATGCGGTGCCCAGTGAGGGTTGTGGATGTCGGCTGGAATAGTGTGATGAGGGTGTGGAAGGCTGGCTGGCAACCAATGCGGTGAGATGGACGGTATGCAGGTATTCGAAAGGAGCTGAGACAGGTTGGCCAAGTTGCAGAGACCTCTCTCTCTCTCTCTCTCTCTCTCTCTCTCTCTCGCTCTCTTTTTGGGAAGAAGGGAAGAGAAAACAACGTAACGGGTCAGGTGGGATAGATGGGGAGAGGGGAGGGGGCCGCCAGAGGGGAGGGAAGAGAAAAGGCGACGGCGAGAAAGAGAGAATAGAGTAAACTAGAGCCCACGAAAATGCAGAGTCATGTATTTCGCAAACTACCTCGTCCTCTTCTTCTTCTTCCTTCTCCTCCGGCAAGCTAGGGTAATCAAACCGAATCGTGGTCCGGATCTGCCTCCGTTGTTCAACCTGCCGTCCAGTGAGAAGGTCTGGAAGGGCCTATTTAACTGGGGATATTTCAACGTGCTGCTGGCCCTGCCGCCCTGCCGCACCGCCGCAGCGGCCACTTCCCGTCTTTTTTCGATCCAATTGCGCCAGTACTTGCAGCACTTGCAGTCCTCAATCTTTGGACATACTCCTCCTTAGTGCAGTGTCAGTCACGCAGTACCTACTTCACAGCGTTCCGCAGTACTATGCCGTGACCGTGACGGTAGGTGGTGATCAACTCGGTACGTACTGTTTACTATCCGTACATGTTCTTTTCCATCCTGGCAGGAACCGAACGCTTCCATTCTGGGCGGGGGCTTCCGCTTGAAGAAGCAAACAAACCCCCACTCCACACAGTGATTCAACTTAGTCAGCCTGCCTTGACCACTAGCAGTCTAGCACACACAGTGTGACCACGGATACCCCGGCGCAGGTCACCTTCCCGCCCACTCACCTGTCTGTCAAATCGCCGTGCCGTCATTTTGCATCTTCCTTGTCTCTACCAAATTTCAGGTGGGACACCTGCACTGCACTGTTCTCTTCCGAGCACAGTCAAACTTGCGACTCCAACCGTACCTTTTCCAGCTTTCTCTTTCTTTGCTCTTTCAACTCCACCTAAAGCGTGGTTCAAAATCGCCATTCTTCCCGTTCAAGAGATGAAGCTCCTGCTGGGCCGACACACTATTATTACCCGGTGACAATCACTCTCAAATCACCCACCCGCACACGCACACGCGACAAGACAACCTACCCGACTCACACCACTTCATTAAACCCTGCATTCCGACTTTGAAACCATGGCGTCAGACTCTCCCCAATCCGCCTTCCCGCGCAAGGCTGAGCCGGAACAAAGCACACCGGCCGATGATGCCTCCGACCTCAAGCAAGAGCCCACTGAGATCGAGAACGACTCAAAATCGAATTCACCCAAGGGCGATAACGACGACAACTCGAAACAAGACTCGAGCTCCCCAGAGTCCGGCGAGGCCAGCTCAATTGGCTCTCCCGCTCCTGCCGACGCTCACGACGATAATCCTACTTCTTCCACCGATGCGCCACCCCTCCCCAACGAGGCGCCGCCCTTACCCGCCGGAGCTCCTCCAGCAACACAAGACGATGGCTGGGACTTCCAGTGGGATCCGACAGCTCAGGCATACTACTTCTACAACCGCATCACGGGCGCGTCGCAATGGGACAACCCTCGCGTACCCACCGCCGGCGGCGTAACACCAGCAGCAGCCGTAGCACCAGGAGCACCAGGCACGACCGCCTCCGCGACCGCGACACTCTCAGGCCCTCCTCCCCTCCCGAAGAACGACGCCCCCCCGGCCGGCGGCTACAACCCAGCCATCCACGGCGACTACGACCCGAACGCGTGGTACGCAAAGGGTAGCGCAGCCGACGACGACGAAACAACTCAGGCGTCTGCCTCTGCGATCAACGGCGGCGAGTACGGCGCCATGGCGCAGTTCAATCGCTTCACCGGCCAGTTCCAGACGCTGGACGACGGCCCCGACCGCCACACAGATGAGGCCAAGAGCCGGCGACAGATGAATGCCTTTTTCGATGTCGACGCCGCGGCCAACTCGCACAACGGAAGGAGTCTCAAGGCCGAGCGGAGCGGCAAGAAGCCTAGCAAGACTGAGCTCAAGCAGTTCAAGGAGAAGAGGCGGGCGCGGAAGGAGGAGAAGCGGAGAGCTTGGTTGCGGGATTAAGCTGGGGAGCTTGGGGCATGGATCTTTCTTTTTCTTCAGTTGGACTCTTTGGTCCTAATTTTCACAGTTGCGAAAAATGGGTTGCCGTCGCGATCGCGACGACCAGGGGAAGGAGGCAAATATCCTTCATACGGCGGCGTTTCGAAAGAAAGGGGGGGGGATTGCAAACATCCCTCTGGGCTAGTCACGGGGTGGATTGGGCCAAACATACACTTCATACGAAAAGACTTAACAGAATAAGTCGGCCGCAACGGCCTTGGATACTGGACCTTTTCACAAACAGTATCATGTACAAAATATCGGGCCTCGACTTGCAAAACGTCGATTGGTCTCTACTATAGCAAATCACAAGAGAGAGAAAAAAAAAAATTACCCAGATCACTCAAACTTTTTGCTCCATTCACTTGGGGACTCTCTCGTCTCCAGTGGGCCACGGGGGGTATTATGTCCATCTAAATTGGCAACTATATGAATCCTTTACCTTGCCTCTTGTTTTCTTGTCCTCTCTCTCTCACTCGTCATCCTCCTCCTCCTCCTCCTCCTCTTCATCATCGTCAAGGTCCATGTTGAGGTGCACGCTTTCATCGTCGCTGTCGTCATCCGCTTCCTCGGCCGGCTTGGCGGCGACTGGTTCCGGCGCCGCCGCCACAATCGTCTTTTCCACCTCCTTCCTTTCCACGCTCTGTCTCTTGGGCGGGCTCGCCGCGCCCACTCCCTCGTCTTGGAGTTTGCGCTTCTGCGCCGAGGTGACGGCGAAGGGGTTGACGACCTCAGTCTTGTTGGACGTGACGATGTCGCCGTCCTCGTCACCCGCAACGACAATGGTGTTGGCGGTGGTGGTGGCATCCTTCATCTCTGCGTCCTGGGCGTCGCCCGCGACCTGGATCTCGGCGAGAATTTCTTCGTCCTCGGCGTCCTTGGCCTCCTCCTCGGCCTCGAGCTCCTCGAGCGTGGCGGTGATGCCCTCGAGCGCGTCCGCGGGAGGTTGCGCGGGGGACGCGCGGATGTTGGAGCGGAGGATCTCGACGCCCTGGTCGCGGGGGTACTGCTGCACGAGGTACGGCAGGATGCTGGGGAATATGGCGCCGCCCTGGTTGGTGTACGGGTTCAGGACGCTGGCGAGCATGGCGGACTTGTTGCGCGACAGGATGGCGGTCTGGTCGAGGAGGCCGCGGAGGCCCGGCTTGAAGTGCTGTTGGGGCACGTGGGACAAGAGGCTGGCGAGGAGGGCGTCGGCGGCGGCTATGTGGTCCTTTGCGATGAGGGTTTGTTTTGAGGACGAGGTGGTAGCGTCTGCAGTGTTGGCTTGCGTGGGAAGGAAGAGGTCTGCGTTGGCGGCGATGGTGTTCTTCTTGGTGTCGGCTGCGGTCTTATTGTTGGTTGCTGGCTTTGCTTTTTGGATATGGCCTGATTCTTGCTGGATGTCTCTGCAGCAGGCGAGGGAGACGATGCCGAGGGTCTCGACGGTGAGCTTTTGCAGGCCGGGGCCGGCAATGGGGAGTGTCTCGTCGAGGAGCCTGTATGTTGCGGCGCGGACGGCGGGGATGTCGATGCCGGAGCGGAAGACGAGAATCATGTTGTCGTGTATCTCTGGAATGGTGGAAAGCGCGTTGTGCTCCAGCCTTTGCACCAGGATCAAGAGCAATTCCAGAGCGGCGACGTGGATGTCGGGCATCGAAGCCCACAGCTCCTCCTTTTCCTCCCTGCCGACGGCAGGCTGTGTCTCGAGCGCCTGGTCCCATGCTTGAGACTTGGAGTTGCGGCTGATCAATGATACACGCGAGACCATATCCATGAGAGCCGCAATCGGAATTGTGACGGGAGTCTTGGTCGAGTAGCGGAGGGCGTCTGCCATGTATTGGAGCAAGCCAACGAGCCTGTCGCGGCCAGCAGAGATTCCGGTCCAGTTGGGGAGCTGATCTCCCGTCTCCAAACCCTGTGGCGGAATATCAAAGTCCACCTTGGATCGGGTGTATGGCGCCGAGGCTTCCCATGATTCCTGCACGGCACGGAAGACCTGGTCAGCGGTAAAGTGAAAGTCCTTGCGCAGCTCGTCGACAAGCTTGACCCAGTCATCGCTAGGTCCCGTCTTGCCTGCCGTGGTGAGGGGGAGAGAGATGGCCAGATGTCTGCTTGCCCGGCGGAGAGACTGGGGAATCGTAGCTCCATCGGAAGAGGTAGGCGCCAAGTAGGGCTTGATGGCCGTCCTGATCTGGCCGTTGAAGGGGCGGCAGGTGGTCGGGTACAGGGGAATCATGGCGGAAAAGGCGTCCAGGACAGTCTCAACGACAGCGAGCGGCGTCTTGAGACGCTGGCCTGGGATCGGGAGCTTGACCATCTGAAGACATGCGTTGAAAAAGGTTGGAATCGTAGGTGTGGCAATTTCTCTTGTGAGAGTTTGGTAGCTGTTGATGAGACTGTATATGCGCACGAGAGTGACAATGGCAATCTCCTTGACCGGGAATGGGTCGTTCTTCTTCAATGCAGTGTCAGCAACCATGTCGGGGGAGAGATATCGGAAAATTTCCCACCTGAAGCATTCCCAAAAGCCCTCGAACCCAGTTGCCAGACTCCTTGAGACACTCCCAACCGCCAACATCAACAACAGCCTTGACGAGAGTTGCGCCGGTGAAGCGGCCCATGGCACTCTTGCCATTGAGCAAAGTCGTGATGATGGTCCTCAGCTTATGAACCAGACTTGATACCTCGGACGAGGCTTTAGGATCATGGGGCGCAGATAAGACATCTTTGCAACGAAGGACGTGGTTGATGAAGGCCGGAATTGAGTGAGGTAGTTGAGCCGGTGGTGTGGATGTCAACTTGCGACATAGGACCTTGAGATCCGGGGGAAGAGAAAGAGACATTTTCCAGTGCGATTCTGGCTGGATGATATAAGATGAGAAACCGATTGGAAGCCCTCCTTTGTGATTGAGGTACCGTGATGAGAGGGAACTGGCAATTTCTCGGATCACAGCCCAAGAATTCACCTGCCGTTGATGCTGTATGAAACTTTTTTCCTGTAAGTGAAGGTACGTATCGGTTGTATCCTGTCCAGCAACGAGCAATGTTGAGTTTGATTGGCTGTACTCGATCCACCGTCACACCCCTGCAAGGCGGTCGAGTCCAATCTTCAGATGCCATCCTGGCAGGAGTGGCAGGGCCTGGACACCGCCCGGTGGCCGACTGGCCCGTGCTCCTCAAATGTCAATCAAGGGACCTGATTGTGCTGGTCTTGGTGGGATTTGGTGCTCTGTCCTGCTCTCCTGTTCACAAGCTTGTGCTGCAGCCAGCACTTTTCTGCCGCTCAATGGACGCAGTGCAGCACCAGTACCTTGATTTCCTGGGGCTTTGGTGGTAGTCGCACTGCCAAACAAGCGGGCGTGTCCATCGCGTCGCTCCAATCACTTACGCAACGTGCCTTCTCCTAATTAAGCCATTCTTGGGTACCGAACATCGCCAACCCACCCTTCCCCCCTAGGATATCTTCAACAAAACAATGCTGCGTGCTCAAATGCGCTGCTAGTAGGATTGGTTTGCACTTCTGTCCCATCACTGGCACAGGCTTCAGTATCGCGAAATGGCTGTGAGTGCTTCCTTGTCCCTTCTCCTGGTCTCCAGGCGCTGCTGTCGAGACCTCCCCTGGCTTTGACCCCAAATGACGTCGAGACCTTGGAGCTGACCGAATGTTTCTTCTTCCCTCTTCATAGCCCGATCCGAATAAGGCCGCCCACTACATTAAGGCTCTCGACGACGCCCGGTGCGAGGGCAATTGGAGCGCCGTCCCCGAGTTCGTCCGCAAAATCAGGAAACATGCGCCTGACCGAGCCTGTCCGTTGCCTCGAAACAAGCACGCAAACGCCGCGATACCCTCGTTACTGACACCGAGTCCTTTCTAGGTCTGACCTTGGCCGCCGAGACGGAATGCGCCGTCGCCAAAGCCACCGACCCCTCTGGTGCCGGACGACCTTCCACCTCTGTTTCCGCCAAGGATCTCGATGCCGCCAACGTTCAGTCAAAGCTCCAGGCCGCCATAGATGGGGAAACAAGTCACCCAGAAGACAGATTTCAGGCTCAAGTCTGCGCCGGACTGTTGCATTGGGTAGTTGGAGAGGTCGACCAGGCAGCGGCCAAGCTGCCTCAGAACATTGAGGAGGAGCTGGGTACCGCCGACAAGTCGGAATGGACCAGCATCAGCGCTTTGAAGGCCGCCGTCATCAAGGCGAACTGCCTTGCTCGTACCCAAAAGACAGCCGAGGCTCTCTCCGTTTTCGATTCCGTACTGCCATCCGTATCCATGGCTTCGAGCCCCCGAACCGCTCACAAGCAATTCAAAGTCTGGTCTGAACTATTCCTGACCGAGTACTGTGTGCTTCAAAGCGATGCGCTCCGCTCGAACGAGAGGTCACTCGCAGACCCTAACTCGATCGCCTGTTTCCGATCGTGGGCTAGGTACTGGGAGTCGATGACAGGGCCGGTCACGGGAGGATATGGGTATAGGGGCTCGGTGCCGAGACGACAGGTGTGGCTGGAGTACTATTTGGCGTTGTCAACTATCCTCGAGCTTGATATCCCATTCCCGACAGGATTCCTCGGTAAAATCACAAACGAGGCTTCGTCCACGCGAAACCAGCTGAGGGTCGAGCTGAAGAAGACCGAGGCTGCTTACGAGGCGCTGCTCATCAGCGAAACCAGCTTCCCCCGCGCCGACGAGACTAGAGAAGAAGTCGAATCCTTCATCAAGGCTGTTGTCAGGAATTGGTCCATTCTTTGTGGTCGCGGTTGGGCCGAGAAGGACCTAGGCCAGGGTGGTCGCGAGAGCCTCAGCAGAGGCGTCCTTGACACTCTATATGCCGCAGCGACCAAGACGTACCACTCAACGGCAATCCTACGATGTCTCTTCACCGTTCACCTAGCGGTGGCGGAGTTCGACCTGGCTTTCAAGGCCTTTGACTCGTACCTCGATCTTGTCAGACACGGCAAGGCCAGGGTGGATAAAACCG